GCTGCTCATCCTGATCCCACTCCTGATCCCGCTCCTCATCCTCATCCAGCTGCTCATCCTGCTCCTGCTCCTCATCCTGATCCCACTCCTGATCCCACTCCTCATCCTCATCCAGCTGCTCATCCTGATCCCGCTCCTCATCCCGTTCCTCATCCTGCTGCTCATCCTGATCCCACTCCTGATCCCGCTCCTCATCCTGCCCCTGCTCCTCATCCTGATCCCACTCCTGATCCCGCTCCTCATCCTCATCCTGCTGCTCATCCTGCTCCTGCTGCTCATCCTGATCCCACTCCTGATCCCGCTCCTCATCCTGCTCCTGCTCCTCATCCCGTTCCTCATCCTGCTCCTCATCCTGATCCTCATCCTGATCCCACTCCTGATCCCGCTCCTCATCCTCATCCAGCTCCTGCTCCTCATCCCGTTCCTCATCCCGTTCCTCATCCTGCTCCTCATCCTGCTCCTCCTGCTCCTGCTGGGAGCAGTTCCTGCCTTTGATCCGGGCTTTGATGTGGGCTGGGGCTGGGCTGGTTCCGGGGCAGACGGGATCCTGCCGGAGCCCCCTGGGGCTGGCATCGCCCTTTGGTGCAGACAGACACCCGGCAGGCTGGGGCACTGGGAGCTGCTCACTGGTGAAACTGGGAGCTGCTCACTGGTGAAACTGGGAGATCCTCACTGGTGAAACTGGGAGCTGCTCACTGGTGAAACTGGGAGATCCTCGCTGGTGAAACTGGGAGATCCTCGCTGGTGAAACTGGGAGATCCTCACTGGTGAAACTGGGAGATCCTCACTGGTGAAACTGGGAGATCCTCACTGGTGGCACTGGGAGCTGCTCACTGGTGAAAACTGGGAGATCCTCACTGGGACACTGGGAGCTGCTCAGTGACCCTCTGGGCATCACCCCTGTGGGATCATCCCTGTGGGATCCATCCCTGTGGGATCACCCCTGTGGGATCATCCCTGTGGGATCATCCCTGTGGGATCATCCCTGTGGGATCCATCCCTGTGGGATCATCCCTGTGGGATCATCCCTGTGGGATCATCCCTGTGGGATCCATCCCTGTGGGATCCATCTCTGTGGGATCATCCCTGTGGGATCCATCCCTGTGGGATCCATCCCTGTGGGATCATCCCTGTGGGATCCATCCCTGTGGGATCATCCCTGTGGGATCCATCTCTGTGGGATCATCCCTGTGGGATCCATCCCTGTGGGATCCATCCCTGTGGGATCATCCCTGTGGGATCATCCCTGTGGGATCCATCTCTGTGGGATCCATCTCTGTGGGATCCATCCCTGTGGGATCACCCCTGCAGGACCCAGACCCCAGATTTGGGGTCCAACCCCCAGATTTGGGGTCCAGCCCCAGATTTGGGGTCCAACCCCAGTTTTGGGGTCCAGCCCCAGTTTTGGGGTCCATCTCCCAGTTTTGGGGTCCAGCCCCAGTTTTGGGGTCCATCTCCCAGATTTGGGGTCCAGCCCCGGATTTGGGGTCCAGCCCCGGATTTGGGGTCCAGCCCCAGTTTTGGGGTCCAGCCCCAGTTTTGGGGTCCATCTCCCAGTTTTGGGGTCCAGCCCCAGATTTGGGGTTTAACTCCCAGTTTTGGGGTCCAGCCCCGGATTTGGGGTCCAGCCCCAGTTTTGGGGTCCATCTCCCGGATTTGGGGTCCATCTCCCAGTTTTGGGGTCCAGCCCCAGTTTTGGGGTCCAGCCCCAGATTTGGGGTTTAACTCCCAGTTTTGGGGTCCATCTCCCAGTTTTGGGGTCCAGCCCCAGATTTGGGGTCCAGCCCCGGATTTGGGGTCCAGCCCCGGATTTGGGGTCCAGCCGCGCTCCCTCCCGCACGGGACGGGGCAGGTGACGCCCACCGAGCACCGAGACTTTCCACGGCCGGTACCGACCCAAACCCGCGGACCCACGGCGCCGGTACCGCGCCGCCGCCCGCAGCCTCCCGCTCTCCCGGTACCGGCACCGGAGCCCGCCCGGCCCCGCCAGGTCACGGCGCCGATCCCGGAGCCCTGCGGGGCCTCCGCCGCCCGCCGGACCATCCTCCCCCCGGGACGGAACCGGTACCGGCGGGGCCACGGGCACCGTGCGGGCACCCGAGCCCCGCACCCCATCCCGAGGAACCGGCCCGGGGCACCCCCAAAGCCCGGCCGAGGGTCAGAGCCGGTGCCGCCGGGACCCCCGGGACACGCCAAGGTCACCGGGGCACCCCGAGCCCCCGGTACCGGCGGGGCTGAAACCCCGCAAACCCCCGGTACCGGCGGGGCTGAAACCCCGCAAACCCCCGGTACCGGCGGGGCTGGAGCCCTCGGAGACCCCCCGGTACCGGCGGGGCTGAAACCCCGCAAACCCCCGGTACCGGCGGGGCTGAAACCCCCCCAAAGCCCCGGTACCGGCGGGGCTGGAGCCTCCGCAAACCCCCGGTACCGGCAGGGCTGAAACCCCCGGAAACCCCCCGGTACCGGCGGGGCTGAAACCCCGCAAACCCCCGGTACCGGCGGGGCTGGAGCCCTCGGAGACCCCCCGGTACCGGCGGGGCCGGAGCCCCCCGCAGCCCGGCCGGGACCCCCCCGGCACCGCCCGCCGCGGGTCCCGCATCGCTCACCGGCCCCGGGCGGCCCCGGCCCCGCCGCCGCCGCCGCATGCCCGGCCCGAGCCGCGCTCGGCGCGCGGAGCCGCGTCACGGGGCGGCACCGGGGGCGGCACCGGGACACCGGGGAGGGGCTGCGGGACACCGGGACACCGGGGAGGGGCTCCGGGATACCGGGGGCGGCACCGGGACACCGGGGAGGGGCTCCGGGACACCGGGACACCGGGGAGGGGCTCCGGGACACCGGGTGGGACCTGAGCCCTAACGTGGGTGCTGGGTGGGCGCTGAGCCCCGGGGCTGGCGGGAGGGGGGTGAGCCCCAGGATGGCAGCCAGGGGCCAGGTCCCAGTTTGGGGTCCCGGTCCCACTTTGGGGTCCCAGTCCCAGTTTGGGCTCAGGTCCCAGTTTGGGGTCCCGGTCCCAGTTTGGGCTCAGGTCCCAGTTTGGGGTCCCGGTCCCAGTTTGGGGTCCCGGGTCCCACTTTGGGGTCCCGGGTCCCACTTTGGGGTCCCAGTCCCAGTTTGGGCTCAGGTCCCAGTTTGGGGTCCCGGGTCCCACTTTGGGGTCCCGGGTCACACTTTGGGGTCCCAGGTCCCACTTTGGGCTCGGGTCCCATTTTGGGGTCCCGGTCCCAGTTTGGGGTCCCAGTCCCAGTTTGGGGTCCCAGATCCAGGTTTGGTATCCCAGGTTCCAGTTTGGGGTCCCAGGTCCCAGTTTGAAGTTCCAGTCCCAGTTTGGGCTCCTGGTCCCAGTTTGGGGTCCCAGTCCCAGTTTGGGATGCCCAGGCTGGGATTTTGGGATGCCCAGAGTGGGATTTTGGGATGCCCAGAGTGGGATTTTGGGATGCCAGGCTGGCATTTTGGGATGCCCAGGCTGGCATTTTGGGGTGCCCAGAGTGGGATTTTGGGATGCCCAGAGTGGGATTTTGGGATGCCCAGGCTGGCATTTTGGGATGCCCAGAGTGGGATTTTGGGATGCCCAGAGTGGGATTTTGGGATGCCCAGAGTGGGATTTTGGGGTGCCCAGAGTGGCATTTTGGGATGCCAGGCTGGCATTTTGGGATGCCAGGCTGGCATTTCCTTTTCTTCCTCCACAACCCCCAGAACCAGGAGGTGGATTTCCAGGTGAGACCCCAAAACCCCGGCTCTGTGTCCTGCTGCTTCCTCAGGATCCCCCCAAATCCCCCCAAATCCCCCCGAATCCCCCCAAATCCCCCTCGGGTGTCACCCCAAGCCCCTCGTGGCTCCCTTCCAGCTCTGATCCCCCCGTTCCCACTCCCAGCTTTTCCCAGCAGTGCCTCCACCCCAAACTGGACCCACTGGGCACCGTGGGGGGGCTGTGCCCTCCCCTGGCCTGGCACCGCTTTTTGGGGTGCCAAAACGCCGACTCCTCCCCGAGCCTCCTGCGGTGCTGCTTTGGATTTTGGAAAAACGCTGCTCCCTCCTCCGGCATTCCCGGGGGATCAGTGGCTCAACAGCCCCTTCCTGAGGGCCAGACCCGGGCGTTTAACTGGGATTTAACTGGGATTTAACTGGGATTTAATTGGGATTTAACTGGGATTTAACTGGGATCTAATTGGGATCTAACTGGGATCTAACTGGGATCTAACTGGGATCTAATTGGGATTTAACTGGGATCTAATTGGGATTTAACTGGGATCTAATTGGGATCTAACTGGGATTTAATTGGGATTTAACTGGGATCTAATTGGGATCTAACTGGGATTTAATTGGGATTTAACTGGGATCTAATTGGGATCTAACTGGGATCTAATTGGGATCTAACTGGGATCTAACTGGGATTTAACTGGGATCTAACTGGGATCTAACTGGGATCTAACTGGGATTTAATTGGGATCTAATTGGGATCTAACTGGGATCTAATTGGGATCTAACTGGGATTTAACTGGGATTTAATTGGGATCTAACTGGGATTTAATTGGGATCTAATTGGGATCTAACTGGGATCTAACTGGGATCTAACTGGGATCTAACTGGGATTTAATTGGCATTTAATTGGGATTTAACTGGGATCTAATTGGGATCTAACTGGGATTTAATTGGGATTTAACTGGGATTTAACTGGGATCTAACTGGGATCTAACTGGGAGCAGCCCGGCATTGCCAAAGGTGCTGCTAAATGGCCAAATCCTGGAAAAACGAGAAATTCCACCACGCCCAGCCCTGACAGCGCAGGAATAACCCCAAAAAAATTCCTAAAAATAGGAACAACCCTGGCGGAAGCCTCGCCGCCCACCTGCACCTGGGCGTGAAATCTGGGAAACTGCCCAAAGTGCCCAAAAGTGCCCAAAAATGCCCCAAAATGCCCCAAACTGGTTTGGGCTGGGGGGCAACGCCAGCTGCCGGGTGCAGATATTGGCAGGAAGCAAATCAGAGTTTCTAACGGGGCACGAGCCTGAGAATCTGTCAGAAAAGAATGTAAATTATTTTATATCTCATTATTCTAGAGCTCTCTTATGAGTCTAGATCTCTCTTATTTTTCTGTATCTCTTATTATTCTAGATCTCTCTTATTTTTCTGTATCTCTCTTATTTTTCTGTATCTCTTATTATTCTAGATCTCTCTTATTTTTCTGTATCTCTCTTATTTTTCTGTATCTCTCTTATTTTTCTGTATCTCTCTTATTTTTCTAGATCTCTCTTATTATTCTATTATCTCCCTTATGATTCTAGATCTCTCTTATTATTCTATATTTCTCTTATTTTTCTATGTGTCTTCTTATTCTATATCTCCCCTATTTTTCTATATGTCTCTTATTATTCTATATCTCATTATTCTATATTTCTCTTATTTTTCTATGTGTCTTCTTATTCTATATCTCTCCTATTTTTCTATATGTCTCTTATTATTCTATATCTCATTATTCTATATTTCTCTTATTTTTCTATATGTCTCTTATTATTCTAGATCTCTCTTATTATTCTATATTTCTCTTATTTTTCTATATGTCTCATTATTCTAGATCTCTCTTATTATTCTAGATCTCGCTTATTTTTCTGTATCTCTTATTATTCTAGATCCCTCTTATTATTCTATATGTCTCTTATTCTTCTATATGTCTCTTATTATCCACATTATTCCTAAATAAGTTCTACCGAGGCACGCCGGCGGCGCGCGGTGTTTTCACTTCAGGCCAGGATCGCTCTGGACAAAGCTCTGCATAAAAGGGATGGATTTTAAAATAAAATTCAAAGCTCTGCATAAAAGGGACGGATTTTAAAATAAATTTAAAGCTCTGCATAAAAGGGATGGATTTTAAAATAAATTTAAAGCTCTGCATAAAAGGGATGGATTTTAAAATAAAATTCAAAGCTCTGGCTGAAAGAGGGATGGATTTTAAAATAAAATTCAAAGTTCTGCATAAAAGGGACGGATTTTAAAATAAAATTCAAAGCTCTGCATAAAAGAGGGACGGATTTTAAAATAAAATTCAAAGCTCTGGCTGAAAGAGGGATGGATTTTAAAATAAATTCAAAGCTCTGGCTGAAAGAGGGGCGGATTTTAAAATAAATTCAAAGCTCTGGCTGAAAGAGGGATGTTTTTTAAAATAAAATTCAAATCTCTGGCTGAAAGAGGGACGGATTTTAAAATAAATTCAAAGCTCTGGCTGAAAGAGGGACGGATTTTAAAATAAATTCAAAGCTCTGGCTGAAAGAGGGACGGATTTTAAAATAAATTCAAATCTCTGGCTGAAAGAGGGATGTTTTTTAAAATAAATTCAAAGCTCTGGCTGAAAGAGGGATGTTTTTTAAAATAAATTCAAATCTCTGGCTGAAAGAGGGACGGATTTTAAAATAAAATTCAAATCTCTGGCTAAAAGAGGGCTGTTTTTTAAAATAAATTCAAAGCTCTGGCTGAAAGAGGGACGGATTTTAAAATAAATTCAAAGCTCTGGCTAAAAGAGGGGCGGATTTTAAAATAAATTCAAATCTCTGGCTAAAAGAGGGACGGATTTTAAAATAAATTCAAAGCTCTGCATAAAAGAGGGCTGTTTTTTAAAATAAAATTCAAATCTCTGGCTGAAAGAGGGCTGTTTTTTGAAATAAATCCGAATAAACCCGAGCTCCAGGATCCCCCGCGCGGCCGCGGTACTCACCGAGCTCGCAGCAGCGCCGGGCGCGGCTCCCGCGGCTGCCCCGATTTAAGCGTTAATTGCGTTAATTACGCTCATTAAGGCGCTTTGATGAGCCGGGCGGACTCTGCTCGGCAGCCCCGGGACGTGCGGCGGGGACCGTCCCGGGCCCGGGCCCGGTTCTTATCGGGAGCGCGGCCCCGGCGGGGCTAATCACGGATCAATTAACGAGCGGCAGCTCATTAGGCGAGCGGCATCGCATCATAGAAACGAAAATCCCTCCAGGCCAATTAACATGAAAAAATAAAATAATTATTTTCGCAGTCCGGTTCTACCTAGCCAGCCACGCGAGTTATAAATGAAGATTTGTCCAGAAAAATTTAATATAAAAAAATATTTATTTTGCAACCCAATTCTACCTAGCCAGCCACAAGTGTTATCAATGAAGATTTGTCCAGAAAAATGTAATATGAAAAAATAAAATATTTATTTTCCAATCCAATTCTACCTAGCCAGCCACAAGTGTTATCAATGAAGATTTGTCCAGAAAAATTTAATATAAAAAAATATTTATTTTCCAGTCCGATTCTACCTAGCCAGCCACAAGTGTTATCAATGAAGATTTGTCCAGAAAAATTTAATATGAAAAAATAAAATATTTATTTGGCAATCTAATTTTACCTAGCCAGCCACAAGTGTTATCAATGAAGATTTGTCCAGAAAAATTTAATATGAAAATATAAAATATTTATTTTACAATCCGATTCTACCTAGCGGGGTCAGCACCAGAATTCAGCCTCAGCAGAGTTTCCTCCATGCCCACGTCTCCATCCTGGCATGAGCGGTTTTTATTGGGAAAATTCGGGTTTTATTGGGAAAATTCAGGTTTTTATTGGGAAAATTTGTTTTTTTATTGGGAAGATTCGGTTTTTATTGTGAAAATTTGGGGTTTATAGGGAAAATTTGGGTTTTATTGGGAAAATCCCAGGTCCATGAGATCCATCCCGGGTCCATGTTCTCCATCCCAGGTCCATGACCTCAATCCCAGGTCCATGATCTCCATCCCAGGTCCATGATCTCCATCCCGGGTCCATGATCTCCATCCCGGGTCCATGATCTCCATCCATGGTCCATGTTCTCCATCCCGGGTCCATGATCTCCATCCATGGTCCATGATCTCCATCTCGGGTCCATGATCTCCATCCCGGGTCCATGTTCTCCATCCATGGTCCATGTTCTCCATCCCAGGTCCGTGATCTCCATCTCGGGTCCATGATCTTCATCCTGGGTCCATGATCTCCATCCATGGTCCATGTTCTCCATCCATGGTCCATGATCTCCATCTCGGGTCCATGATCTTCATCCCGGGTCCATGAGATCCATCCCGGGTCCATGATCTCCATCCATGGTCCATGATCTCCATCTCGGGTCCATGATCTCCATCCCGGGTCCATGATCTCCATCCCAGGTCCATGTGCTCCATCCCAGGTCCATGATCTCCATCCATGGTCCATGTTCTCCATCCCAGGTCCGTGATCTCCATCTCGGGTCCATGATCTCCATCCATGGTCCATGATCTCCATCTCGGGTCCATGATCTCCATCCATGGTCCATGTTCTCCATCCATGGTCCATGTGCTCCATCCCAGGTCCATGTTCTCCATCCATGGTCCATGGTCCATGATCTCCATCCCAGGTCCATGATCTTCATCCCAGGTCCATGATCTCCATCCATGGTCCATGATCTCCATCCCGGGTCCATGTTCTCCATCCATGGTCCATGATCTCCATCCATGGTCCATGTTCTCCATCCATGGTCCATGATCTCCATCCCAGGTCCATGATCTCCATCCCGGGTCCATGATCTCCATCCATGGTCCATGATCTCCATCCATGGTCCATGTTCTCCATCCATGGTCCATGTGCTCCATCCATGGTCCATGATCTCCATCCATGGTCCATCTCCATCTCCTGGCCTCGTTTGGTGTCCATCAGGTTTCCACACGCCCGGTTTCACCTGCCAGGCCGGGGCAGCCCTGACCCGAACGTGTGACACGCCAACAAATATTCCATGTCCCAAACATCGTATTGAAAATGGCGAAATTCCTATCTACTGCACGTAACAGGGAGGCTAATTATAGATCAATCGATTAACAAGGATTAATTAAGCCAAAGAACAGCGCTCTGCCCCGGCCACACCTTCGCCCTTTGACCTTTTTGGTTTTATTGTCCTTTTTTTTTCCTTTCCCGTTGACGTGTTTTCTGTATCTCGATTTGAACTTTATATTGGAACTTAAAACTCTATTTAACACACTAATTAAGAGAATTAATGCAGCATCACTTTCTAACGTCACACATATAACATTCATTGCAACATTTGCGAAAAGCCAATCGTAACATCTGCATTTTTCGCGTTGTGAAAAACGCCAATCGCTTGGTTTTGAAAATTGTTAAAAGTTTAATAATAATAAAATGGTTATAAAAATAATCATACAATTAGAGTAATAAAGTTTAGAGTTAGGACAATTAAAATTGTTAATAGTTTAATAATAATAAAATGGTTATAAAAATAATCATACAATTAGAGTAATAAAGTTTAGAGTTAGGACAGTTAAAATTGTTAATAGTTTAATAATAATAAAATGGTTATAACAGAGTAATAAAGTTTAGAGTTAGGACAGTTAAAATTGTTAAAAGTTTAATATTAATAAAATTGTTATAAAATTAATCCTACAATTAGAGTAATGAAGTTTAGAGTTAGGACAATTAAAATTTTAGAAGTTTAATATTAATAAAATGGTTATAAAATTAATCCTACAATTAGAGTAATGAAGTTGGACCGGGGGAACGGAAATGCGGGGGTTCAAGGCCGAGCCCGGAACCCCCGGCCCGCGCGCACTTCCGGCGCGGCAGCCAATCAGCGCTCGGAGGCGCACGTGACCGCCGCCGGCGCCCCGCCAAGATGGCGCTGCCCGGGGCCGCGGCCCGGGGCGGCCTCTGGCGGCTGGGCGCCGCCGCCCTGCGCCCCGCTCGGGGCCAGCCGCGGCTCCCGCTGGGCCTGTCCAGGTGAGCGGGGGCCCCGCGGGGCGGCCGTGCCCCGTGGCACCGCCCGGGACGCGCTCCCCTGAGGGAGACCCGAACACCGGCCGCCAGATACCGCCCGCAGCCCTCCCAAACACCGATTCCTCGCCGAGCGCCCCTCCCCGTTACCCCCCTCGTCCTCGCCGGCTCCCTCCGGTCCCGGCCGTGTCCCCCCCACGCTGTTCCGCAGTCCCTCGGTGCGGCCCCGTTACCGCGGCGCGTCTCCGTTACGGCGCTGCCGTTCCCCGCCCGGTGCCTCCCGTTAGGGCCCTCCGCTGCCCGAGCCTGGCACGGGAATCCCGCACCCACCGGGACCGCGGTTCCCAGCCCAGCCCGGGGGGTTCCCAGTTCCCCCAGTTCCCCTCCCCGCGGGCACCGGGAGCTCAGGCGGGGCCGGGGGCGCAGCTCCCCGGTGCTTTCCCCGGTGTGTTCGCAGCTCTGCCGCTGCCCGGGCCGCTCCGTCTCCTCCCGCGCCCTCGTGGCCGCCGTGGCCGCCGCCGCCCGGCGGGCGAACGCCCGCTACGAGCGGTTCCTGGAGCGGAGCTTCCCCCGCTTCTTCGTCCTCCACAGCACCTTCAAAACAGGTCAGAGCCCGCGGGGAGCCCCGCTGGGGGTCCCGACACGGGCAGAGAGCGTGGGGTGGTCCGGAAAGGGGGGCTGCAATCACTACATGTGGGGTGTCCCAAAAAAGGGGGGCTGCAATCACTACATGTGGGGTGTCCCAAAAAAGGGGGCTGAAACAATCACTACATGTGGGGTGTCCCAAAAAAGGGGGTGTGAAACAATCACTACATTTGGGGTGTTCTGGAAAGGGGGGCTGAAAAAATCACTTTATTTGGCGTGTTGCAAAAAGGGGTGGGTCAAGAAAAGGGGGTGTGAAAAACTGACTTTTTTGGGGTGCTACAAAAAGGGGAACCCAAGGAAAAGGGGGGCTGATGGGGGACCCAAAATCTGGGTCCCAAAAGCAATCCCAGCTCTGGGAAGGAGGACAGGGATTGCAGCGGTGCAGCAGCAGCAGCAGCAGCAGGGCTCTGTTTGCAGCAGGGCAGCAGGGCTCTGTTGGCAGCGGTGCAGCAGCAGCAGCAGGGCTCTGTTTGCGGCGTTGCAGCAGCAGCAGGACTGTTTGCAGCGGTGCAGCAGCAGCAGGACTCTGCAGCAGGGCAGCAGCAGGGCTCTGTTTGCAGCAGGGCAGCAGCAGGACAGGGTTTGCAGCGGTGCAGCAGCAGCAGCAGGGCTCTGTTTGCAGCGGTGCAGGAGCAGCAGCAGGGCTCTGTTTGCAGCGGTGCAGGAGCAGCAGGACTGTTTGCAGCGGTGCAGGAGCAGCAGCAGGGCTCTGTTTGCAGCCGTGCAGCAGCAGCAGGACTGTTTGCAGCGGTGCAGGAGCAGCAGCAGGGCTCTGTTTGCAGCGGTGCAGGAGCAGCAGCAGGGCTCTGTTTGCAGCCGTGCAGCAGCCGTGCAGCAGCGGGCTGGGTCCCTGATGCAGCCGTGTCCCCGCAGGGCTGCGGGCGCTGTTCCTGGAGCTGCAGGAGGTGCGGAGGATCCGGGCCAGGATGGCGCAGCTGCAGCTGAGCCCGCAGCAGCTCCCGTACCGCGAGCTGGAGCGGCTGCGGCAGGTCAGGGCCCGAGCTTCATCCC